GCTGAAACATCTTCATTTTACATGTAGGCTTCAAATATACTCTTCTTCCTCCCTCGAGTGGGTTTATTTAGATTCTTTCTATCGCCTGACGTTGGGACAGCAGCATAGGGTCCTCCTGCAAACAAAAATTCATTAGTGTTATCTTGCCCACCAAACATGTCTATGCATCTTAACAGCAGCTGTACAGAGGCTTTGTTTTCAAAGTTGAACTTCTGAGAATAGTTTGCCTAGAAATACTGGCACCCAATTTCAGAGTACCAAAAAGCCTGGGATAATCACATTTTACAAATAACGAACAGTCTTTTGCAGCTCATTTTAGAGTTAAGAGTATTCATCCCAGCCCATCTTTTAATAGTGCTGAGCACATGCTTCAAGGCAGCTTATTCCTGAAGCGTGTACGCACTCTGCTTTAATACCTCTGGGAGTTCCCAGTTGTCTAGGATTTATTCTGCTGTCTGAATTGTTCATTGCTTCTGCCTGCGATTCAGAGAGTTGCCTCTTCCTATCGAAGTTCTGGGGAGTTCTTGCAGATTCAGAGTTGTTTCTGGTCCTTGCAAACCCTCTCTTTTCTGCACCTGAAATCAAACACAGGTTTGAAACAAGGGAGAGAAGGGGAACCCCATTGCCAGCTTGTGGTCCTGGTGAAACTCATGGTCTGCAGTACTTCAGTACAAGTCACAACTGTGAGTTATGCTCTTTATCCAAAAGAAATGATGTCTTCGTTAGTTCATTTGCAATCTATTGGCTCTTTGTGCCTCTGAATCCACCACTAACTTATTTTAGCATAAATAAAACTCTGGAAATTACGATACTAAAGTTGGATACAACCCTTCCAAAACCCTGGGAAATTCATTAGAGCATATAAAATGTGAAATTGTTAAATTGTTTCCAAAGCCTCCATCCCATTAAGCCCCCAAAAGTAGTGAGAAAATATAACTTCCCTTCAACTTAAGTAGTTCAGGAATCAAGGAGGAAAAAAAAATTCTCAACAACCCACTCTGGAGTAATTAACTTTTGAGCTACCAGAGGCAGCACAGTATACAACACCACCACAAAGAAGTACCAAGGCTCCAAATGTCCAGCCTGCTCAGAATAGGCCACGATCATATGAAAATATTCTGCAAAGACTCACCCCTTCCTTCCCTGCCATCACCTCAGCCCCTTCCCTACAGCCAGGAGAGCAAGCAGCAGCTTCCAAAGCGTATGCCAACGCTGTTCCACGGATCAGCACATTGGAATGCAACCCAGCGCCGCGCAGCTGCCCTCTTGGCCCTCCACCTGGATACTGAACATGTCATCACAGCTTTGCCTTCCAGCCCCTCCTGGCTATGCTCCCTGGGTCCAAGCTTGTACCTGCAAGTCAGAAAACGTGCAATGCCAACTTATTTGCTATGGGGCTATCCAAGTTACAAGGCAAGTTTTTTATGTATGGTATCCTTCATGTACGAAATTGCAGACTGCTTCATGGAATTAAACTGAAGCAGCAAGAAACAAAATGTTTAAAAAGCTGTACTTAAGCAGAGGTTTTTAAAAATACGGTACAATTAGAGAAAACTGCTTTTTACTAAATGCCACAGCAGTGTCTCCCAACTGGATGCTGAAATGAAGAGGGGACCCCTGTGTTCGGTGACAAAAAGGATAAGGACAATGTAGTTTGTGCTCTTTCTACATGATCAAGCTTTTCATACTCTGCCCACGCTTTCAGGGAGGAGACTGTCTAAGGGAGGTTGCAGCTGTAACATGGCAAGAGCGCAGCCGCAAATTTAGGTTTCAACCGATGCAAACAAAGCAATACTACCTGTATGGACCACATGATGAGACGGAACTAAAATTAACTGATTTGCAAATGCCTAATGAACTGATTTGCAAATGCCCTAAGGGTCAGAAGATTAGCTTCAAAAACAGACACCGAAAGTAAAAGTATGGACTAGAGATATCTGAGCAGAATAGCTTTTGAATGGGGAACATGGTTTGCTCAAGGGTTTTCAAAGACATTTTGGTGAAGGAATCCGACTTAAACTGCAATGGGCAGGATCTTAGGAACACTATTGAAAAAGCAAGGCACTAGGCCGATCACCCAGAGAGGTCACGCAATCTGCTTCGTTGGAGGTTCTTAAAAATAGGTGATACAGATGCCTGCCAGAGCTGGTCTAAAAAGAGTAGTTTTTTCCTTGAGGTAGTGAAATGCATTACACGAGCTTGTAAGGTCCTCTAAAGCCCTCGTTTCTATGACAGCAAGTCACAGAAAATACTACTATGAATTAAAGAACTTGGGATAAAAAGGAGGCTAAATCTTAACATGTAGTTAAGAAGGAGCTGAAAGAGAGCAGAAAATTAAAATGCAGAGGAAAAAAGAGAAAAAAAAAGTCTTATGAGTTGGGAAATGAGCCAAGAGCCAGAATTAGCCACTGCAGGGCAGAGCTGCCCCAGCACTTGCCGTGGCAATCAGTTGAGAAAGTTTGGGGCCACCACTGCCAAAAACAATGCGCAGCAACAGCAAAGGGTGGAGAAGCACCTTTCCGTGCTGGAAGGTGGACACACAGAGAGGCATTTGCATGTTTTCAACACTTAAGCCTTGGCTTGCTCTCCGGTGGGTTTTGTCATCTGCTCAGACACTGACACAAAGAAAAAAATTTACTCAAATGAGCAAACTCTGCTTTGACGTAGCTGGTCTGCAAGCCAGTTTACACACAGCCACTTTGGATAAGTATTTGACCACATTGGCCTGACGTTCATTTATGGCTAAACAAAACCACCCCTGTTACAAAGCCACAGACAACTGTCACAATTAGCATTCAACTGGAACACATCAAATTCTGCATGACTCTAATCGCTTGTATTTCTCCTTTTAAAAGAAAGAGAACTAACTCCAGGTTGCCATCTGTTTCAACTAGATTCAATATTTGCTTCTATAATGCATGTGTCCCCTGAAACTGGAAGTTAGACATACTTCTCATGATGGGCTTTCCTGCTGTCCCTGCTGCCCAGCATTAATATTCTGATGGATACACAGATACCATTCCACAAAGCAAACTGTGACTTGACAACTCTATAAATAGCAGGGGATATATTGAGGCTATTTTTTCTGAAATAACTGTTATCACTTAGTTAAATGCCATTCCAGCACCAGGTGTGTCAGAAGTCTGACTTTTTCTGTGGTGTTATGGTTGAGTGATTTGTAAGATGTAACAAAATTTTTTAAGGTAAGATGCCACATAAAGTAGTAACACATTCTAGGCATTAAAGTAATCAATGATGAAATAAATTAGTAAGTAAATAAATATATATAATTAAAAAAATAAAATAACTTCAGTAGAAGGGAGCTTAAGGTGCAGTGACTGAGAGCTGAGGTTGGTCGATACCTCCGAACAGGAGGGTTGAGGCAACCACCATGCACCAAACGTGTCTGCATGTGCAGAGCCACTCAAGCTTGAACACAGAGCAATTCTAATGCAAGACACAGACGCATTCACAACACACAGCAAATGCAACATGTTCGGGTATGTTTAACTGGCTGCACAGATGATGTAGAGCTGCTCTCTGTGGATGCAGCCACAGCTTGCCTGGGATTTCTAGACATCCTGCCATTTCCCATGGGAAATAATACAGGAGTAACAATTTGAAGAAAGGTGGTTAACTGTTTGTTACCTGAAGTCCTCTGGAGGGAGATAGATTGAAATAAGCCCAACACCTGTATCAGGCAAGGAGGCTGCCTACAAAAGTGACAGAGAGACACCTAAATAGGACAGGTATTCTACACGCGGAGCAGTGAACCTCCTCAAACTAGCCAAGGGGAAGCACCTGTGGGAAGTAGAAACATACAACCAGGAAAAGGAGCAGGAAGGATGGAGCTGGGGGCTGGCTCCAACCCAGGAGCCCAGTCCAGCATCCCGCATGCACGCAGCAGTGGCTGGTTGAGCTCTGCTGGAAGGACAGTGCTGGAATTCAACTAGAATCCAAACCATCACACTTCATCGCCATCACAACAGCAATGACATTACACAATGGCACATTTTGGTCTTTAAACCTAAGTACCTATTAATCTTTTCTTATTTTGGGAAAAAAAAAAAGTATGCAGGCTGCTTCCCAGAATAATTGATCTGGCTTACAGTAAGAGAGGAGGCTAGATGTTTTAAATCAGCTTATTTCAACATAATTTATACAAAATCACTCTATAGTTCAGGTTTTGAAAAGTACTGCATTTGATTAAATTTACATGTTAGTCAGTTGATCAGCTAATGGTCAACTAAATCAACTAAAATGTTCAACTAAACATGAAGTTAGCAAGGCCAGAAAGTGTTTAATTTTATATTAAAATTTGCATATTGCTTTACACAAGAAAGAACCAAGACCCTCAATTTTATTTACCAAATATAAAACATTTCCAACTGCCCTCTAACACCTGACAAGCTATTTGATTACAACCAGCACAGAAAGAAAGTATTCCTCACTGAATTTTCATCAGCACATCCATGACTCCTTGGATGCCTCCCATCCAGGATCCTGCAAGAACTAGTTTTACTTGAGAGATCTAAGTGAATTCCAAGATTACGGACATCTTGGTATGGCTTTCCCCTTTCCTGTCAAAAGGCATTACCATGCCACTAGGCATTTTTACCTCTAACTGAACTTCCAGCTTCGTTACCATCTACATTATTTATATTTAACCCAGCTCCCTTGGGTGGGCAGGGCTGTGAAAGCATCACAATTGTGCTGGTAACACCTCTACAGGTTTAGGATTCTCACCCCACTGACAGCCATCTTGACATGTACTGGTTCCTTTTACTTTAAAAAAGCCGAAATTATGTTGAAAGCATTGGATGGAACAACATTGTTACAAACTTTTCCAACACAAAATACTTCCATCTACTACTTATCTTTATCAGTCCAAGACTGGGAATCAACGCCTCTGGTAACTCTGCTATTGCAGAGGGTTTTCCATTGCTTCCCAGCATTAGATCACGATCTAGATAGCAAAGGAATCTTTTGAATATCCCCGCTTTACAGTTAGCATAAGTGTGAGAAGAAACAGAAGCACATCCCCAGAACTGATAACATGCAAAAAACCAATTTGTTAGTAGGTAATGAGACACTCTCAACACACAGTTACCAAATATTTGTCTGTATTTCTACAATGTTTCACATAATTGCTGACATATTTCAATGACTTAAACCAACTTCCTTCAAAACTTCCAAGAGGTTCCCTGACGTTTAATTCTTCAAGACAACCCAGCTATGCACTTAGGAAAACCCTGTAAGGATACACCCATGAGCTAGAAGGCATGACAGCTACCAACTGAAGGGTCACCCAACATTGCCTTACCTCCAAAAGCAGGAATTAACCAATTAAAGGCAACGTGAACTACTCTGATGCCAACCCCTGCTTAGTCCTACGCTCCCATTTAAGTCAGACTAGGCATGGCAAGAAAGCTAAATAAAGCATGTTCCTGCTTATCCTTACTAAAGACTCAAGGAATTAGTCCAACCGTGTGCCAGCCCAAGGCATCACCTCACAGATCTACAAATTCAAGTTGGCCCTTGGCTCCTGGCAGAGTTGGCAAAGCAAATGTTAGAA